AGCCGGTTCCGGGGAGCGGAGGCGGGGGCCGAGGTCGCAGAAAAAGGGACAGTGGTCACGTGAGCCCCGGGACTTTCTTCGACAAGTACTCGGCGGCTCCGGACAGCAGGGGCGCGCCCGGGGTGAGCCCAGGGCAGCAGCAGGCGACAGGCGTGGCCGTCGGGGGAAGCTCCACGGGCGAGACGCGTGGGGCACCGACGCCCCACGAGAAGGCGCTCACGTCGCCGTCGTGGGGGAAGGGAGCCGAGTTGCTCCTGGGGGACCAGCCGGACCTCATGGCATCCCTGGATGGCGGGGCCAAGTCGGACAGTAGTTCGCCGCACGTGGGCGAGTTCGCCTCGGACGAGGTGAGCACGAGCTACGCCAACGAGGACGAGGTGTCGTCCAGCTCCGACAACCCCCCGGCCCTGGCCAAAGCGAGCAGGAGCCCCCTGGTGACCGGCTCGCCCAAACTCCCTCCCCGTGGGGTAGGCGCCGGGGAACACGGACCGAAGGCGCCCCCGCCCCCGCTCGGCCTGGGTATCATGTCTACCTCTACCTCGACCCCTGACAGCTACGGCAGCGGGGGCACGGGCCATCCGGGCACGCCGGGCCTGGAGCAGGTCCGGACCCCAACGAGCAGCAGCGGTGCACCACCGCCCGACGAGATCCATCCCCTGGAGATCCTCCAGGCGCAGATCCAGCTGCAGAGGCAGCAGTTCAGCATCTCCGAGGACCAGCCCCTGGGGCTCAAGGGTGGAAAGAAGGGTGAGTGCGCCGTCGGGGCCTCGGGCGCCCAGAATGGCGACAGCGAGCTGGGCAGCTGCTGCTCAGAGGCGGTGAAAAGCGCCATGAGCACCATCGACCTAGACTCGCTGATGGCGGAGCACAGTGCCGCCTGGTACATGCCCGCTGACAAGGCCCTGGTGGACGGCGCGGACGACGACAAGACGCTGGCGCCCTGGGAAAAGGCCAAACCACAGAACCCCAACAGCAAAGAAGGTATATGCGCACGCGTGTTCCCTTCTCACTTGTCCTGTGAGCCGCCCATCCCCAGTGCAGGCCTTAGCCTCCACCCCTTGGGTCCCTTGGGGTTTGGAGGGCACAGGCCCTCCTGATCCCCAGCTTCTTTGGTTACACCAAGGGCTGTGGGGACAGACACCGCCCGCCCTCCTCCAGGTGCTGCCAGCTAGATTCTAGTTGCACAGAGCGGTAGGAACTTAGATGGCAGCCCTTTGGGCATCGCTGTAGGGTTACACCTCTCCCCCGTTTTAGCTGAGTTGCCTGGTGTGCAGCGCTCAAAGGCCCCTCCCACCCTCAACATTCAGTCTGGGTCCACTTCTTAAAGAGTTGTGCCCCACCTTTTCTGGCAGGATACCTGGGAAGTTGTACTAATGCCTCCCCACCTTTTCCTAGTTAGCCAACCTCTAGCTGGTTCTTTTAGGTACCAGCATCTTTATAAAAAAGTTCCCAGCCAGGTGTCTGCAGCATCACTCAGAGGCAACGCCTAATTTGACATTTGTTCCTAATGAATAGCTGTTTTGTCTCTTCTTAACTATTAGAGTTTCATTGAAAAACTGGAGACCTGTCGGAATTGTAGGAGGCAGGCAGCCCTCTCAGGGTGCATCTCCTTGACATTTGGTAGGGGGGCTGGGGCTGGGGTGGAATCTGCTTGGCAGAGACCAGACCACTCAGTCAAGACATCATTTGCGTATGAGGATATGGATATATAGTCTTAAGACACAAAGGACCCGCGTTTGTCAGTATCTTGCTTGGCTTTGGTGACAGATGTCCTGTCCCAGATCTCCTTTGCATTCTAAGCATCCCCTCCCCACCAGGCCTGGGTGCTTTTAAGGTGGGAGGGGTGGGGGTTAGTAAATGGACCAGTTAAAGTAGTTAACAGTTTTCTTTAACCTAAAGATGACTGGGCTGCAGTAGATATTCATTTTATGTTAATGGGGCTTTAAAAAAAAATATTGCTAATGGCTTCTTAAAATTAGGTAACATCAGTTTTTTCCCCCTTCCTACCTTTTTCTTTTAAACCCTAGTTGGATTCTTTTGGTTTCATTGCCAGGGAATATTACCATGGAGCCAGTGGCTGGCCATTTAACCCTGTCTTTAAAAAAAATGTGTCTCCTGATTCTTGCCCTTTCTTACGGTCAGTTCTTTCCTCCCCTGCCTTCACTCTCCTATCGCTCCCCACATCCAGCCATCTCTTGACCCTGGATTTAAGGTGAGGGTAGGTTTTAGGAATGAGATGGGGTGGGGGGGAGGATGGGGGAGGAGGAATGGGAGTAGGGTGGGAGGTGGGTGGTTCAGAACTCCCCATCCTGTGTAGCTTTCCCGCTTAGGTTTTCTAATTCATGAATGCGGCCTCAGCCTCTCTGCTTTTCTCTTTGTTTGCGGTTACTGCCCAGCCCGGGACGCCCGGGACGCGCTTTCTCATTTGAAGCTGGGTGTTTAGCATGCACAGCAGACGCCACGGCCAGCATCAGCATTCTCCAGGCTTCTCCCAGGCAAGGCCATAAATTGGTTAGTTTGGGACCCTCAGCTTCTTCTCCTTTCCCCCCCTTTTTAAAATGGAGTTGGACGCAGCGTCCTGCTTGCTTGCCCACCTCCCCCTCTTTTATTTTCTTGTACACAACATCTCGATCTAGCCCGATCGATAGCTGGTTAGCACAAATCTCAGCCCCTGTCACTTCTACCTGGCCTGGCCTGGCTGGTTGCCCACCCCCCAACCCCCCAAGTAATTAAGAACATATTGGCCAAAATGGGGCGAGAAAAGTTTTTTTAAAAAAAGAAAAGCTGATTTAGGGAATTAATAAAGAAAAACCAGTAGTACTTCACCTTTGAGTCTTGTCAAGGGCCTTAGTAGACTAGGTGGAGAGGTATAGGGCAGTTTTAATGAGATTTTTTAAAAGGTGTTTCCCTACCTACTTCCCAGTCCTTTCTTTACTGGGTAAAAGAAAGATACAGGCTGTGAATGAAGAAATGTCATTAAAGAAATGTTTTGTTTTGTTTGTTTCATTATCACAGTCAGACGAGCGAAAATATTTTTTGGAAACAGATGCTAGTCACTTTAGTGCTGATTTCCCCTGTAAGCAAAACGAAGCCCTCCCTGCACACTGGAGGACAGGAGGACAGGGACTTCCTTCAGGGACCAGTGGGGCTGGCTGCCTTATAAGCTTTGGCAGGGACACCCACTTGACCTCCTTTGTTTCCCACTCTGTGATGTGGGAAGGACAGTTTCCTAGATAAAGCACCGAATTGAGGTCACTGGAAGCTTCTGCAGCCTTGGGGCTGCTAGTTAAGGCTTTATAAGGTATCTGCATCTGATTCCTGCTCCCTTACTGGTAGTAAATAAGGATGATTAAACTTTTCATTATGATAACACCCTGCAGTTCCATCTGCACACGTTGTATAAATAGGTACACAGAGCTTTCTACAGGCCCCTGAGTCCCCTAGCTGAAAATCAGAGTGAAGTGTGCCACCTCCAAACGGAATAAGGAAAAAAAAATTTAAATCAAAACGTTCTGCCTTTCCTTAAAAACATGCCCATGGTACCATTAGCCATGCAGCAGTGGTGTCCAATGGGTTTGAATATCCCTTCCAGCCCCAGCAAGCACGTTTTTCACCCCCCTTTCAGGCAAAGCCCGTTTTTGTAATGATATTTTATTTTGTCACGCCGTAAAACACGCCAGTACTAATGTGATTAAATATTAACACCGTTTCTGAAATTCTTCGCTCCGATGACAAAATACTAGTCGGTATTTAACAAAATGATCCATGCTTGGATTGGAGGGAACGAATAAGTCTTCAGAACTGCACAAGGCGTGTAGCCACTGGGACGTGCCCAGATTGTCTTATGGGCTTTAGATGTCCTTTGGAGGGGAGGGAACTTGAGTGGCACGTTTTAGTTCTTGAAAAGTCTAGACCAGAATCTCATGTGATGACAATTTTTTAAAACCAGGAGAGCTAGCCTCTCCAAATTATGCTTCCTCTGACTTCTTAGTCAACCCACCAAACAACTTCCATATAATGAAACTCTACATCTGATCATAAGGCTCTGTTTGCACAAAGTTGGGGGGGGGGATGGGTGAAGTTGTGGAAAGGGAAAAAAAAAAGAAACCAGCCTGAGTTTGGGCCTATTCAGACATCTATTAAATCGGTGAGGATTATGTGAATTTAAAAATAGTTTGCAAGATTATCTACCTATCTTGGTAATCGGGGTGTGGCTATGAAGGAATCTCAAAACAGAGAGAAGAGAAATAATGATAGAGTATAGATAATGGATATTAAGTTGGAAAAAGTATGTTTTCCCCTTTCCAGCCCCTTATGATTTTTAAAACTTGAATTGACCATATTCTATAATAATTTTATCCTCTCCAAACTTCCTTTCCGTTGGCAGCTCTGTATCTTGAAATCCAGGGTAGTCTAAAAATGCTCTTTCACACACATTGAAATAGGAGCGATTTCAGTACACACTCTGCAAGCAATCCTGCCCTTTTTGGAACTATGATATTTTTACAGTGATGTGGGAGAAATTTTTGGAATTTCATGCTTCTTTTAGTGTTCCAGCCGGAACATAGTAATCAGCACTGAGAAATACTAGGCAAGCAGGATTTGACCATTGAATTTCTTTAGACCTGGGGCAGACTTGGGGTGAAAGTAGGTTCTAGCCTCAGAGCAAAGCTCTGTTTTTTTCTGAGTCGTTTTTCCTCCTCCCCACTCATGGAGAGAATTTTTAAGGCTCACTCACACTTGTTTGGGGAAGGCAAAGAGCCTTGCAGTCCAGTTTCCCTGTGCAATCACCCAGCACGGATTGCATGCCTTCATGTGACTTTTGTGCCTCCGGAAGATGTAACCCAAAACTTCGCAGGTGTTAATCAGGAGTAATGTAAACAGATAGGGGCCCCCTTTGTGCAGCTGACGTTTGGGCCTGCCTGCTCCCTGGCTAGTCCAGGACATACAACTACTGTTCTTTGGTACTTGTTTAATATTTCATGGCTGTAATAAACCTGTCTTCTTTGCCCGCCTCCCGACATAAAACCCCAACCTAGCACACATTTGCAATTATACATTTCTACTAAATATTAATAAAGGACAAGGATGTTTTAAGGGGCTGAAGCTCAGCGGTGTTGAACTTGTCATGGTTTCTGCCACTGGCTTTTTTCTGGCTGTTCTGATTTTAAATAGCCATTGCTTTCTAATATGCAATATGTGCTTATATATATAAATATATACAATGTCTGGAGATTGAAAGGCTTTCCTCAAGAATAGCTATCTTTAGTATAAATTCATTCAGATTTCTGGGGAGGCCCCTTCAGACCAGAAGTAAGAGAGTATTGACATTTACTTCTATTTTATTGAGGTTTCTAGGAAAGAGGAGAGGGTTGGTTAATCTAATTTTTCTTTCTAGCAATGAAATTCTATGATTCCTGATATGATATTGTTTGCCTGACAGATATATTTAAATTTCCACAAAGAATCTTAATAGGTCCTGAAAATACAGCTTCCCTCACCAAGAAGTTACTTGATACCCTCTGCTGATATAAAATATATGTCTTTAATAAACAGTCCAGGAGGACCAGGTGAAATAGAGGAGGAAAATTCTTCCCACTGTGGAAGGGCAATCTTGAGTATTGTTGGGTTTCACAGGATCTCCTAAAGTCACTCTATGCTGGAAAATTGGAAAATTTAGCAAAATCATTCTGTGACCTGTTTCTCACCACTTGAGCAACAATAATGTCGGATTGCGTTCTTTGCCCAGGGAGTGATCTGCTTTACCGAGAGCATTTAGGAGAGAAATACTCTTAGTAAGGAATACTGTACTTACCTCTGTTTGGTTAATTTTAGAGATTAAAAGGCTGTTTATATAATAGGATCAAGTGTCTGGGGAGTGTGCAAGGGTGAGCAGGCCTCCCAAGCGCATCGCAACATAAAAACACCAAATCCTCTCATGATGAAGGGGTCCTTGGTTCATCTGGGCCTCCTTTAACCAGTGGGTTTGCCTTCTATCCTTTTCTCGCTTGTCCCACCCAAGCCTTCGGGCTAGAGGGGCTTCATCATTGTGACTCAAGATAGGATTCTGACTTGCCGGCGATGTGTTTGTTTTAGG